CCTATCCTTAATGTCTTACCCTAACGGTGTAAGTCCTGCCTCCCACACGGTCCCGGGCTTCCAGAACAACCACACTCAGGCCATTTTCATGCAGAAGTTTGGCTGCTGCCATACCTGGGAGAAAAATACAATGAAAAATCAGAATCTAGCACCTTATAGGGACTCCTGATAAGCTCCTCATGCTAACAACCAATGAGAAAAGTCCATGTTGGCTCACACATATGGCCTACTGTTATGTTTAACTTACAGGTGGTTTCTCAACAGAGGCTTAAATTCCAAATCTGGGAAACCAGCTGCTCTTTGTAGAAAGAACAAAAGGGGTTTCATTTTTGGTAAATGTCTCAAATCTTAAAAAACAGCTTTGGTCACTATATAAAAATGTCTATCTTTAAGGACTAAAATGCATGATTATACATCAGACAACACAGGTGAAAACACAAGGCTACGTTTAAGAGAAATGTATAAGACCCAACAGACACAGGGTCAAATATAACTACTGACTTCATTTACAAGGTAAATCCGAGAAACCAGTAAATTGGGGGGAGAGTGGGCCATCAAAGCATGTGAGAGGACCTAGGATTTACAGTTACAGTGGACTCTTAGAGGTTGATGTAAAGTTTCAAAACCAAGGACATAAAATTTGACCCCCTTCTAAGTCCTAATTCTGCATGTGATCCATCACTGAAGAACGAAATGACTCCATTCGTTTATCCCTTTAATTATTAATGTAGTAAAAAGCATTTAATGAATGCCTATTACATTCTTACCATCATAAATTTAGCTTTCAAAACAACAGCTTTATTGAGATAAATTTACATACAATAAACTTTACCCATTGAGTTTTGACAAGGTACAAAGCTTAGTATAGAGGTTATGTATGGTATAAGTTCATCCTGGATGTAGTTTTTGATCTTAGAAGTCTTAAAACCCTGCATCTTTAAAATCACTCTTACAGGGTTTAGTAAGAGTTTTCTCAGACATCAGAACTCTGACACTCTGAATGATGAACTGAATTTTCTCAGTTCCAATTACCTTACTCATTTGCTTTTATGAGACCAAACAAAATCAAGGAAATGCCAAGATGCTGTGCCTTACAGATAAATGAAACAGCTTCTAGCTTGTCTTTCAAAAATAATAGTTCTGTGACTATTAGACCCCACTAATGTGAAAAAAAGATTCCTATAAAAGTGGTCATATAGTACTCACTACTTTTGAGAAGCTATTCTAAAGATTTTAATGTATTAATTCAATAAATCTCACAGCAACCCAATAAGAAAAGGTACTATTCATATTCCTACTTTATGGCTGAGGAAACTGAAGCACAGAGAGGTGTCCGAGGTCATATAAGGTGTCCAGAGCCAGGCCATTTCACTCCAGTGTCAGTATTTATAACCACTATGGGTATTGCTTTCCCATGGGCTCTCAGAGTCACTTCTTCGTAGATCACATGTCTCAATTTTTGCTTCAGGGAGAAATTACATTTCAAAAGATATTTTTCACTTTATTTGATCAACATGTTTTTAAAACATACTTGTATCCTGTNGCAAAAGGAAGAAGGGTCACAGGCCATGAGCTGTGAATAAGCATAGGTGTTGTTTAACCAGGAACTATAAACCACAAGTGATCATGGGAATGTAAAAGACCCAATAAACTCACAGAAATCTTGGGCAGATCAATGGAGCTTCCTCACAAAAACAATGGAATTTGGGACTTGAGTCACTTTAATGTAAACCTCCAAAGAAGACTAACTTTAGCTGATATATAGGACACAATGATAACATTTCAAAATACTGCATTAGACATATTGCAAATGCTTTTTATAATGTGAAGTCTAGGACAGCATTTGTAAAACTGTACACAAGGTTTTGTATCACATGAAATAGGCTGAGGTAGTTAATAAATTAATCACAAATATTTTTCCTCTATTAGTTTTGGTAAACTTTTCACTGAATGGCCAATACTACTTCAATTACCTTCCTGAATACGTTTAGAATTCTCACTTAATTCCATTTGATAACAGTGAAAAAACTCTTCGAGTGGCTGAAATACACTTATAAAATACACATGCATCATTCACATGAGGGAACGATCTGGAATTCATATACGGGAATACCCATAGAGTAGCCTTCAAATCCTTCAAAGGCTGGCCCAGGCTTACCTTTACGTGGTGGATCAAGCACTCTACTTCATTCACTTTGTAGGTCTCCAATCCTAGCTCCTTGGCTAATCTTAAGATACGATTCTGGGTTGGTCCAACATAAGATCCTCCAAGGTCCACATATTTAACCATTTGGTTCTGTTTTTCCATGGAAAAAAATAAAAATAAATAACTGTGAAAATGTTATTCCTAAGTGAAGAAAGAGAATCCTGAAAGAAGCAAATTGACATTTCACAGGTTCTAGACACATCTTGAGGTCTATCCATAAGATCCTGTTCTCAACTTCATTTATGCAACTAAACAGTGTTTAAATCATTCCTTAATTTAAAGCAAAATTGATTGAACTTTGTATAAGCAAGAGACTTCTGAACCCCATCATTCACCATGTAACACAATGTGGTTTGTTTTTTAGTGCCTTGAGTTTATAAGCTATGAATTACTGGTGAATTTCTCTTTACTTCATACTTGAGGCTAATTTTTGGGCACCTAATGTCAGAGGAAAGGCAAGAAAGGAAATGATCACTTCTTATGTGGTTTACTAATTGATGTTTAAAAGATAGCATCAGGGAATATTTGATCATAATTTGAACCTTTAAAATT